CAACCTCTCTGTTGCTTAGCAGCTAATGAAGTTGTGCTGTTTTTCTCACTTGTGTTCCCACAAGTACGAACACATTAAACTATGAGACACGGATGGCCTGAGGGCTGTGTCTGCAGCCAAGTGTAAAAGACGAACAACTGAAACAAATTCAGCAAGTTAAACATCATAACAACTCCATAACAGCATGACAGCACACTCGGCATCGGAAACAAACACACATTTCTTAGATCCCAGTTGGTAAAATGTGATTTTCGTGGAGCAGAGGTTTAGAAAGGTAGAGAGAAGAAAGGTGGGAGTCCTACCTGCTGGGGAGCAGTCTTGACAAGTCTCCTCTCCAGATTAAGGCAAACTAAATAACGGCGGTTTAACAGCACAGTGAGCTCTCAACTGTTTCACCTCCCACTCACATTGGACACGGAGGGGTGTGGGAGGAGTACAACTCATCCCTCTGACTCTCTCTCTCGTCTTCTCACTCTTCATCTCACTCACACATTTTGGTTTCAGAGCCCTGTGTGTGTGTGTGTGTGTGTGTGTGAAAAACATCCTCCTTCCTCTCTGCCTCCTTCAACCCCAAACACCAGCTTCTTCTTAGTCCAATCAAACGCCAGCTGCTTCCACTGATTAGTCCCTCGTCACCGCATGATGTCTTTTCACTGGCCTCCAAATGGAATCAGCAGCTCGGGAGGTCACATTTTTAAAAAAGGGAACAACACTGAATACTCTGGGGAAATTCGTGGCTCAGGGTTGTATCAGCAGTTCTGTTTACTTTCACTGTGGATCTGCAGCTTCAGGGGTTATTTAAAAAAAAATCTTTAGTTAAATGGCCATAGGTGACACAATACCTATAGAAAACATTTTCAGTTTGTGACACAGAAGCTGCCAGGGTGGAGGTCACTGTGCAAACGGAGTTGTTATCTGGTCGGTACTTCTCTCTCTGCTGCTGCTGCTTCCTTCCTCAAATAAACAGAAGGCTGAAGTTGCATAATCACCGCCGGAGGCAAATCAATTAAAATGGTATTTGGTTCGGTATAGAAAAAAAAAAAAAAGTTTGTGCACACACTAAACTCTTTCCGACGATGTCACCTGATGACCTGATGGTTGTTGTCAACAACTATAGAACAACCGAGCCTCACTGCAGCAGACAATAGTTTTTTAACAACCTAAATGCAAACCGTTAAAGTTTTAGGAACTATATTTGAGACGGTTTGTTTAGCTGGAAGTGGAAGTCAAATATTTGTATTAGTCCGACCATGTTACCAATATGACCACTTCATGTTCTTTTTCTGTTGGGTGGTCCAAAATGTATCTTTTTGATGGATGGACGCATTTCAGTTGAAGTATGACTTTAACTCACAAAATGAGTGAGGAAAAAAAACACATACGAATTTTGATTAATGCCAACAAAGAATTGCTCATCTTGTCCGATTTCTTGTGAAAAAGGAATAAATTAAAGCTTAACATTTTGCGAAGGGAGAATCACAAAGTTTATGACTTACCTACAGTCGTTGGATTACATGATATGCAGCGATAACATTTTTCGGGGATTTTGTTTATTTTTCCTGTCGTAAAACTGCTTTATTAATATTGCAGTAGGCGGTCAGTTCTCTTCCGGTACTTACTCAATGTTACCGCTAGAGGTCGCCATAATATTACATGCTAAGAGGCTGGCATGTGCTGCGTCTGACAGTTCTAGAGAAAGTCAGTTATGAGAAAAGTTATTGTACATTTGATAATTTACATAAATAAAAATCAATTAACCAGTATGCAACCAAGATGAGGATTCACAGCCGGATTCAAACCCAGGGCCTTTGCCACAACAGGCTGTTTTTTTTTTTTACATTGACAGCTTTCATATAAGTTTTCAATTATTCATGTGCATGTAAACAGAACCAAAACATATTGATCATGTTTATGATTTACAGAAAGCAGAGACAGACAAAGACTGTTATCTGAAAAGATTTATTTGGACCTTTTCTGTATTGACTGATGTTATTATTCACTGAGGAGCGGATGCCGTTTGTAAAATAACTTCTAAAATGACAACATTCCAAATAAAACTCCAAAAAAAAAAACAGCACAGATTTTAGTCTGATAACATCTCATCTGTTGTCATTCCCTGGTTTATTACTCAAGACCGGAGAGAACCAAATGATGTTGAAACATCTATGACGCTCCAACAGTCACAGTTGTTCTTCAAATCCACAGATTCTGTCAGAACAGCGTCAAATAGATAAGAAGAGGGAGCGATGAATTTAAAAATGTCTAAAGCCGCAGCGTCATTGTGAATCAGAGGAAGAATCTTTGACGTCTGTGCTTTCCGTTGCCTCGCTGACTTCACTCAGCTCTTTGCTCTCTCCGCCGCTGTCTCGCTCGCTCTCTCTCTCCTGGTCTCCAGAGCCCGACTGGCCGGGCGGCAGGTCCTGACCCGACACACGAGATCCAGGCTTTCTTAGCTGCGGGACAGACAGAATAAAATGTGACTCTGTCGAGATTTGAATATGTTCAATAATGCAGAGGTAAAAAATGCAAATGTCTTACAGTCACCTCATCAGCCATGTGGGCCAGGTCTCTCTTCATGGCATAGGCATCTTCCCCATCGGCATAGTATTTAGGCTCCACTTCACTGATCCTAAGGAAAATACAGTAGCCAATGAGAACAGGTGATGACACAGAAGTCCTAAATACAGATATTGGTCTTCAGCACCCCTCTACATTGGCACCTCAGCCTTTTCTTCAAAACTTTACCAAATGCTATCACAAATTTCTGTTGGAATAACTCCATGTCCTCAAGAGGGGCCGACCCCCTACTTTTGAGAAAACTGTTTATTTTTTAATAAAAAAAATCCTAAAACTATATCAATTATGACTTGACTAACCAAACCCATGTATATGACAAAACAGCTGATGTACTGCCATTAAGGTTCCCATATCAACTGGTAAAACAGAGATTGATGAGAAACATTTTATATTTTACTGGTATTCTTGTGTTTGCTCTTAATAATAGAATTATCTTATCAATTACTGTTATACTCAGGAACAAAAACAATAACATTGTTGTTTAACTATGCACAATATGTTATAGAAAATACTTAATACACCATTGAATTCTCAAAGGACTTACTGAAATTTAAGTGTGTTGGAGTACAGGTGCAGGGCTGCCCGGTTGCTGTGGTAGAAAGACATTTTGTCAGTCCATATCAAACAAGATAAAACTGTAAAACAATCATTACACACACACACATATATATAAGATCCAATAAAAAATTAATACATATATATATATATAAGATCCAATAAAAAATTAATGCTGCTTACAATGCAGTTACCTTGGATGACCTTAATACAAAGTATGTTGTTCATTTGGTACATTTTCTGGACAGGTTAACGGGAAGAAAAGGATTATAGTCAACCAACAGCTGATGAATTACCTTTTCCTAACATGAAGTGAGACATATTTAGCATTGAAGTTTTCTATCATGGCCCGGCTGGCCTGATCCATCAGCTTCTGAGCGAGTCCCAGACGTCTGTGAGAGCGCTTTACAGCCTGGAGGACAGAGACAAGGGTTCGATGATCGCAGAGTAGCCAGGAATAAATGTCTTGACAGCAGTGGATTTATTGCAAAATAATTAGTAAATGTTGTGAAGTGTGTTATTCAGACTCACCAAGGATGTGATGTGTCCATGAGGAACATCATCAGGGTCTTCCTCCCTGAAAATGAACGAATCAAAACAGTAAATATCGCATTGACATGAGGTACAACTAATATTCAAGCACATCTGTACTTACATCTTTGCCAACACGTATCCCACAATTTTGCCATTTTCGTCCTCGGCAATGTACGACAGCTGAAAGGTACAAAGACATATAAACATTGGAGTGAACCCTGGCAGAAGTCTGCCTGTGACAGCAGTTAGTTCTGAGCTATGTCTCACCTGAGGCCAGGAGAGTCCGTGATAAAAGTAGTATTTCATCTGGTAGTTCTCTGGAAGACACAGTAGGTTACAGTGCTGCATGTTCATGAGGTCCTCCGGCTGAAATTACAAATATAAAAATGCATGTCAACATATGAATAACACAGAGCTAACGCCTTCATTAACGACAGCAAGCGTGTGTGCTGCGGGAATTAGCTTAGCCATTGGGAAGAGCATGGCTGTCGGTGGGATTTCTTCGCACTTACCCTCGCGTTCCGTATGTTCATTTTCTCTGCTGGTTTGTTGTCTGCCCTACGGAAACTCTCAATAACGATATAACCCTAATCTATTAGTTCATAATAGATACTGCCTACAGATTAAAGACAAATTAGTTGTTGTAGCCGGCTAGTCGAGTCCCCTTGCTAGCACTGGAGGGTGGGAGGCAGGAAGAAGCGCACCACAATAACCAACACCATATCCGGTCATAAGTGGAATTCCAAAGTAATAGTACTCGTTACCTCGGTAGACAGCATTAAGAGGGAGTTTTATTTTGAAGAACCAGTTAAGATTTGCGACAACAATTATCTTATAAAGAAAGTGGGCGCGACCATAGTATGTCGCAAAAACGGAACTCCGGAAATTCATCTGAAATATCGTTCACTGGTTTTTAAACCTTCACGTTATGAGCCACTTCTCAAGCCAAAAAAACTTGTTACACAAAAAAATGCTCGAAAGAAAATATATATATATATTAATGCAAATATTAATATATTAACACATTTTAAAACGACAATTAACTAACATTTTAAATGCACTTTCGTTTTAATGTGTCATGGCAGTAAATAATAAGATTTATTTTAAAAACGTGTGTTGCTGGTGTGTTCTCTTTTTTATAAATGTTGTGTGTTGCTGGTGTGTTCTCTTTTTTAATGTGTTAAATTCGGCGGACTTGTCATTCGTTCACGCTTCTCAGTTTCAAAAAACAAAACACGACTGTTTGTTTGTCATTCAAATAAACAGAGGGTGACTATAATAGGGATCTTATTGTTTTTACTTCCCTTTACATGCACAGCTTTGAATGTTCAATCAGAACATAGTTTAACTTCCGCAAATTTAGTACCAATGGATGCAGACTTCCTCTGTTCTATCTGCTATTGTTGCTCTGCAAAAAGGATTGGTGTCATCACATTCTGCCTTTGCGTTCCTTCCTATGACGTCAATAGTGTCTGGTATTGTGCATAATGTTGCGTGGGCTGAAATATTGAGCCGGCATATATTTTACGTGTCTTTTATTTATTTCACCTTCCCAGTGACATGCTCTGTAATAGCTTTGCAATAGACAGGGACCTAAAGAGGACACGGACATGTTTTATCTATCTAACTCGGTCAGTCTACGTCAACTAATGGCTGTTGTGTTGTTCTTTTCCTCCAGGTAAAGGCCAACAGCCAATCAGCAGCGTAGTCAGGGTGCAACATGCAAATAAAGCAGGTGTCAGCGGGGAGGGACCGCAGAGGGAAACGGCTGTTATTTGGATTAACCACATATGTCGGGCGTTTCAGATGAAAGGTGACACAAATGTGTCTCCGGACAAGTTCACCGGGTCCGTTTAGAGAAGATTTGGAAGCGTTCCACTGTCATCCAGAAGGACTGGTAATGTCTGAGTTTCAACTCGCTGCCGTCTCTGAGAATGGACTAAAGTTGAAGGAGCGACACTGAAGCTGTGAGCGCTTTCCCAGATGGAGACAGACTTGAGGCTGGAATCAAGTCTGTGGGTCGGTAACAAACGGCACCGAGCCGTGTTGACGGGCTGGTATTTTAACTGGACGGACGTAGATAAGAAGAAAACAAGTAAGTGGCCGTGTTTGTGTAGACAACAACAGCAGATCATCTGTAACATCTGTCAAAGCGGCGTGGTTTCTGTTTAACGGGAGTAGAACAACAACAGTCACTGCACCGATGTGTGTTGTTAATAACAATAATAATTGAATCCAATCGATGAAAAACGGAACATTTTTACAACAAACAAACGAAACACATGGTTGGTCCGGTCATGCTTTGTGACAACAGCATGGAGGGAGGGAGCTTTAACATAATTAGTCCAGCAAACGTGAACAACAAGTTCCGCAGCACGAACATGAAACGCAGCCTGAACTAAAGGCAGGGCACCCACATAATACACCTGTCTTTGTTTAGAGTCTTATTTTGGAATTCCTTCTGCTTCTAACCAAAACATTCTCACTTGGTGAACACCGTAGTTTTTTTTTAAATAGTCGAATGGCGTTAAGTTGACTTAATGCGAATACATCAAATTATAAACATCGCCGTATCATATTCATAGAAGTGCGTTTCAATCAGGTTGCTTTAGTTTTTACATTTCCGTTTTAGAATAAGTTGTTTTCCCAGAGTAAGAGTAAGTGTTTAGTTAGTTAAATGAAAATGCTTCCCACCAACTCCAAAATTATAAAAAAAAAAAAAAAAACCGCTGTAGCTATGACACTGTAACAGTAAAGCGCAGGAAGTAGACCGGAAGTTATGTCAATAATTTCAATTGACACACTTTGTTTTGTAGAATACAGCTGAAGTTGTCAGCTCAGTCCCACAGTTGAACGCTTTATAATTATCGCCCTTGTGTAGAGAAGGGACGGAAACCCTATATTTGCATGCAGTTGTTGTGAGATTCTGAAAGATTCTTTCTGAAGACTCTAAAAAACTCCGGAAATCGTTGGTTTGTCAGGAAGTTCTGAAAGATTCTTTCTGAAGACTCCGGAAATCGTTGGTTTGTCAGGAAATACCCAATTTTTTTTATAACAACGCTGCGGCAGCTCTCAGATTTATGTTACTGTAAATGTTCTGAATGACCCCACACGTCTAAAGAACAGAAAGTCTTTTTATGACACTTGCAGAGAGACAAAGATGTAATATGGTTGTATGAGTGGGATGTTTAATCTCATTATAATTATTATATAATCATAATGATATGATTGTTGGCTAATTAAACAGTCACACGTGGTGTTCACTCACTTGATTACTTGTATAACAACGTATTTTGTACGTATTTGAAATGTCATTTGATCAGATGCAAAGCAGTCTTTGGTTATTAATAATGTGGTGGTGTGTGAATCATGTGAGCAGAGAACTGGTGAAGAGATAGGTATTAGTTAGTCTACAATTAGCTAAACGTTTGCCTAAAGGCTATCCAAAAGATGAACGTCAAATAAGAATGATTACCAGATGTAATGTAGTATACAGGAAATTCAGCAACAAAATGCTCTATTACCGCAACAGAAGTAATCAAATGTAGTTAAGTCATAAATCTGGGCACTAACATTTACACTGGATCTCTTTCTCATCTGTGTCAATAAAGTTTCAGTGCCCGTGGCAGAGGTGGTGGGAGTGGAGGAGGGACAGGTCCAGGTCCTGCCCCAGAAGACTGTGGTTGAAAAAGACAAAGACTTCACAGGTGAGCTCCTTCTAGTGTGCAATGCCAAACACAATATTCAGTATTTGGGGTAACTGATGTGTTTTCAATGTCGGTCAACCATCCATAGTTTTCTACGTGAAGCGCAGCAGCACAGGGGGCTCCTCTGGGTTGTTATGGAGACTGGGGCAGACTCAGTTCAGCTGCCCCAGTCGAGTCCTCAGAGACCAATGGATAAAACAACTGAGGACAGCTGTCAAGACACACAGTAAGACAGATCACTATATGGTCCAAGTGGTATGTTAACTATGTAAACTTACATGTTTCTTCCAGCCTAGTTGACTGTTGTCTACCAACCTACTTTTCTAATCTATGTCTCAGGTCCACTGCGCCCAAGTAAATTGTTGGTTTTTATCAATCCTTATGGAGGAAAGAAAAGAGGAAGGCAGATCTACTCTTCTCTGGTTGCACCCTTGTTTGAGCTGGCTGGTATCAGCTCCAATGTAATAGGTAAAAATGACTTGGTGTTATCCCATTTTTGGAAAATAAGAGTTTTCCTTGTACTTTTACACAGAAAAACAAACTTCTGAACTCATTGTTTGTGAATGTGCTGTAAACACTACGTTTAAATGATCTACATCCAGAAGTAATGTCTTCATAATGGACTGGCTTTGACCGCAGAGTAAATAAAACCACCTTTTGTTCAGTGACTGAGCGGGCGAACCAGGCCAGAGACCATCTCCTGAAGAAGGACCTGACCGACTTAGACGGGTGAGACCCTGTGTGACAGAGGACTCAGACACGTGACTGTTGTTTCTGTTGACCTTTAGAGAGAGAGAGGGGACGGGTTCTGTCTCTGGACTGACATAAACCTTTGTGTTTGTCTTTGACAGTGTGGTCTGTGTGGGTGGAGATGGCATGTTCAGTGAATTACTTCATGGTTTGATCGATCGCACACAACAAGAGGCCGGCCTCTGTGTGAACGATCCAGCTGTAGCTTTACAGCCATGTCCTCTTCATATTGGCATCATTCCTGCAGGTAAACATTGTGGCATTAGGAGTTTTACTTGTGTGTATGTATGTGTATATATATATACAGTATATATATATATATACACACAGTATATATATATATATAAACATACAAATTTATCTACACACATTTATATATGTGTGTGTTTATTTGTATATGTATGTGTGTATATATATATATATATTTATCAGCAGAAATATACCAATAATGTGTCCTGACATCTATTGTAGGTTCTACAGACTGTGTGTGTTACACCACCGTAGGAGTGATTGACCCTGTTACGTCAGCTTTGCACATTGTCCTCGGTGAGGAAGCACTGTGATTCGTCCATTTCAGGACTTAATATCTCAAAAACCTAAACAGCAGAATCATCTTTGAGTCACTTGTTTCCACTGCCTCACAGGAGACTCCCAGCCTTTGGATGTGTGTTCAGTTCATCACGCCTCTGTGCTGGTGCGCTACTCCGTGTCTCTAGTGGGTTATGGCTTCTATGGTGATGTACTGGCTGAGAGTGAGAAACACCGCTGGATGGGCCCTCTCAGATACGACTATTCTGGTATCAACTCCATGACTTGTGAAGACTAATGAGAAGACTGATATTCTTGTGCAGTCTCTGTTGATGTTCAACTTTCACCACTGCTGTGACATCACTAAAGCACCACCGATATGTTGTTCATCTTGACTAACGTTGTACTTTTCTATATTTTGTCCAGGTACGATGGTGTACCTCAGCAACAGAAGCTACCAAGGTGTAGTCGAATATCTGCCGGCAGATCCACTATTGTCCAGCCCCAGGGATAAAACCCGCTGCCTCTCAGGGTAAAGTAACAATCACATCATTCCAAAAGTTGTTAAAAAAGTTACCAAAGTATAAACTACATGTCCAACTTAAAAGATAAAGTTAACTAGATCTGGACTAACAGATATCACCATTATTCAGACCTAACTAAACGATGGCCAGAATTTTCAAAACAATATAATAATTGTGAAATTAGGTGTGACAGAGCAGAAAAGTTAGACGAGGTTCGAAAATAAGTTATTTAAAAAAAAATCATCATAGCAACAGGAACATTTCTATGCTAATAATTAGCAGGGAGACACAGGCTGAGGTGCAAGAGCTCACATTGACTTGAGGAAATTACCTGAGACAATTAGCAGTACCTGCAGCAGAGACCTGAGGGGTTGGATGTAACTAAAGCAGGATAGATGCCCAGGTGAGGGGAACCTGATCTAGACGAAAGATGAACCTGGTATGTAATGTCAGTGGTGACTGTCAGCAAACTGCCCTGATGCCCCTGTGGCTGGGTGAACCAGCGTCTCAGGTCTCAGACGTAAAGCCCAGTGAAATCTGTGTGTGTGTGTGTGTGTGTGTGTGTGTAGGTGCACTTTGTGTTCCAGAAGCACTGAGAGACTCTTCCCCAACTCCTCAGACTCAGGATCTCTGTACAGCGCCAACTTCAGTTCATTCAGTAATGACTCAGAAGGTAATGACGCGACGTTCCACTTTCAACTGATTAACACCTCGTCATGTGACCTGTATCATGTATTATAGCTTGAAAAGTCATGTGCAATAAAAAAAAAAGTTCAGTAATTAAAACTCTGTTGCAAAAAAAAAAGTACATCGCTCTTTGGGGCAAATATTATTAAAATATATAAAAGAACCTGACTGAATACTAGAGAGTCAAATAAACAAACTGAAGAGTTAAATAAATCAGTGGAGTAGAGAATAAATAATCAGTGTGTGCCCAGAGATCAGCGACGATCGACGAGTGTTCAGACTGTGTACACTGAGGCAGAAGTTGTCTTAGATATGACAGGTAGAAGTACAAAGAACTACAGTCAGTGACAGTAACAGTGGGATAAAGTATATGAGACATACGAACACTATACATACACATATAGGTATATATATAGTTATATACATATGTATGTATATGTACAGTTAGTTATATACATATGTTGTATGTATATGTACAGTATGTAGTTATATATGTATGTATATTTATACATATATACACAATATATTTTTTATACTGTTTAGTATTTTTTTTCTGCAAAACAGTGGGATATAGTATATGAGATATATGTATATATATAGTTAAACACATGTATATAAATATATATGTACATATATACACATAGATTTGTATGTATAATATACAGTATGTATGTGTATATATATATATGTATATGTATATATATATATGTATATATGTATATACTGTATATATATATATACATATATATATATGTATGTATATATATATGTATATATATATAGACAATGTATCCTCAGTGATGTCCTGTGTGTTTATCCGTCTCTCCAGGTGAGTGGGTGCGTGTGGAGGGCAGCTTCAGATGTGTGTCTCTCACTTGCATGTCCAGCTCATGTCCCAAGAGTCCTCTGGGCCTCTCTCCGTCCGCTCACCTGGCAGATGGGACAGGAGACCTCGTCCTGGTGTGGGACACTCACCCGCTTGGTTTTCTCAAGTTCCTGCACAGACACACGAGCACACAGGACCAGGTGTGTGCACGTCCACAGAGACACCAAGCTTCAGTCAGTTATTTAAAACAATTTGTTTAAGTTTCTCTCTCTGTACCTTTTCAGTTCGACCTGCCGTTTGTGGAGGTTCACCGTGTGAAGGCCATCCGTTTCTCCCTTCCTTCTGGCAAAGAGGAGGAAGCCCACGAAGCCGTGGTAGGACAGAAGGGTGGGCCAGATGAAGAGGTCTACACCGATACTGGGAGCTGGAGCGGCTCTCAGCAGCGGCTGTCAGACAGAGGGCCAGGGCAGGAAACGAGAAGCCACCAGAAGACAGTCAGCCCCTTCCTGTGTGGTCTGTGCTGCAGCAAATCTCCGTCTGTGTCTGTGTGGAACTGTGACGGAGAGATTCTGCCTTTCACTGAGATCCTCTGCAGGTTGGAGAATAATGGAGTACAGTATAGTACAGTATACTGCATCATGTAGTGACCGTCACAGTAACCAGTCCTACCTTCACCCCTCCCCTCTCTGCTCAGGGTCCACTGTCAGCTGGTGCATCTGTATGCCCGGGGCATCGAGGACGGAGCAGCAGCACAGAACAGCAACGAAGACGATACCAGGTGTGAGAGGAGGTGCATCCTTCACAAATAGCCTTGATAGAGATGAGGAGGAGGAGGAGAAGGAGTGAAGTTGTTGTAGGTTCATTTGTGAATGTCTGGATTTGCAGTCGGTCATTGCCAAATTGTTCCTAATATTTCAGGTACTTCCATTCCATTCTCACTGAAGCGATAAAACTATTATTTATTATTATTGTTGTTATTGTTATTGTTGTTGTCTATGGAGCACATTTGATCCTATTTAACTCAAAACTGTACATGTTGTGATCATGAAGGTTTTGTTCAATGGATTTTTAATTCATGATCGCCTGAGGTCTGAGGAGATGAAATAAAAGTGTTTTAATATTTATAAAATGTCTTAATTTTTTCTTTTTTTAGTCAGCATTTTAATTACTCATACTGAGTTAGTTTAGAGGTGGACAACATCAAGTGTTAGAAAAAAAAGCAAAGCAAATTATTCAGTGACTATTGATATATCAGGGAAAAAAAAAGCAAAGCAAAGTAAATTATTCAGTGACTATTGATATATCACTGACTCAGAAATGAGAATCACTGCATGTTGTTGTAAATACAGTCATTTTGTAGTTTTTTTTAGTTTTGCCATTGACATTTGGGCTTGTTTTCGTGTTGAAGAATAATTTTGTGTATCAGTCACCTTGATTTGAGCATTGCATGATGGGTAAAAATGTGCTTGATTTCCTCAATAATCCTTACCTCAACAATGTCACTTGTAGGAATACAGCCCTAAACTGGCAGGGAACGTCACTGTCTACATGCATTACTTTTTATTTTGCAGTTTTTTGTGTCGGAGCTCGCTGTGACTCTGCTGCCGTCCCTGACTGAAGTCACATCAATTTCCTCAAAATCTCTAATTTCTCAGAGTTAACTTTTACATCCAATCCATCAGATTGCACTGATGGACATCTGCTGCTAAAGCCACACATTTCAACTTTAGCCAATCAGTAGTTTTCTGTATCTGAGTGCCATCAGTATCTGCTCGTTCTAAACAGATGAGTTTGGTCCTCATACAGTAGATCCCTCTGGTCTTCAGTAAAGTCTTTCACAAAGACATCAGAGACATGAAAAGCCATGTCAAGAAAATATTTTATTTTTCATTTCCAAAGAAGGTAATAGAATAATGCAATATTAATCTAAAAAGCTAACTAATATAAATAGGTTTTTTAGCTAATTGAGCTAGAATGAACCAGTAACAAGGTACTTTTTGTGATACAAAATGAATGGATTAAATCTAGAAATATTTTGTTGTCGTTTCCATTATTACTGCTGTTGTATAACAAGAAAGTCCGCGTTTCTTTCAGTAGGAGCTCAAACAACACCCCCCCCCCCCCCCCCCCCGTCCACAGGGCTGAGATGCTGCACTGCTCATTGTTTCCCAGATCAGAGAAAGGTTGGACCAAATGAGGGAAGCGGGCCGAACGGGGACTGCTGAAAACAGCTGGGAACTTTTCAACCCCTTGATTGAAAGTCTCCTGTCTGTCCTACTGAAGACAGTGGTTTTAATTCACCAGATGTCCACATGTCCCATAAGGAGGACACACATGAGACAATGGGCCTTCAGTCTGGTCCACCAAAGCAAATATGTCAACTATTTGTCTTCCCCTTTTAAAGACAAGAACTGGTCCCATCAGCATGGGGTCCATGTGGAACCACCCCCTGGACAACCCAGACCCTGACCCCTCACTGCAGTGGTCTGGGGGTCCATTGATCTGCTGAGCCACTGAAGCTCTGGCTTGAGAATATGAACAGTGTCATTTCTCTGCCTGTCGCCATCTTTATCTGAGGTTAGCTTAGGTTAAGAAAAACAGAAGTGTGTTCAGTCTACTGGCTGGTTGCACAGTCCAACTGTCAACCTCACACACAGAGTTTAAGGAGGTCTCTGGGACGATGCAGCCTAAAAACAGCGTCCACTTCCCACCACTGGGCTAAAGATCATTTCCCTTTGGTACGCCACCCTCCTCCACTTGAGGAGATTACCCAATGTCCTTTCTTTTGAGGACCAAAAACAAGCTACAACAAGTGTTTAAATGTCCAGCCCAGAGACAACTGCCGTCTCCGACTGCCTCCCTGTAGAAGCAGAGTCGGAATTGATGGTTTTGTGGGGTTTTGTGGGGTTGCCAGGACGAGCGGGGGCCTGAGGTCTCTATGACGACAGCCCGGCATTCATCTCTGGGGCTGAGTGGCATGTGGAAGGACAGTGAGAGAGAGAGAG